CACCTCCACCTAAGAACTGAACTTGAGTCACCTTCATCAGATCATCCCCCCGCAGCTATCACCTTTTGCACCACCTCCCCCTTCTTTTATATTGTAAGCTCCATGAGTCGGGCCCTCCTATTCCTTCTGTACTGAACTGTATTATAATTGTACTGCCCCCAATATATTGTAAAGCACTGCGCAAACTGTTGGCGCTATATAAATCCTGTATAATAATAATACAAGTTCTGACTAACAGAAAGCACTTAGGTTCCCAGGGAGTCTAAATTGCCCCAGGGGACAGGCGTAAAACCCAAACTGGACCGAGGATCAGAGATCCCTAAATGTGAAAGATGTGTAAACCCTGAAGAGGACTGTTCCCGACTCCCTCTGAGACACTCTGCTACACCGCTCAGATTACTTTTTCAAGAAACAGAATCCCCGGCAGAAAAAAAATGATATCTCAGGTATGGGTAACCCGGGTTCTGTTATGTCCTATGGACAGGAAGTGGTACAGTATATGTAAATGTAAAGTGTCACTAAACCCAGTTCATAAAAAAAACTATGAATAAATGCTGTATTACATGCTGTTCATGCTCACTCATTCACTGAGATTAATTTTCTGTATTCTGCAGGAAAAAAAAACAAAACCTGGTTGATCCTGTTGCTCTCTATCTCCCCCTCCTGTCCATGTCCCCAATGCAGCGGGGATTTTGCAAAGCAGTATTGGCAGCTCTGCACGTGCTCCGTTTTAACCTATATGGAAGAAAAATATATTTGAAATATATTTTAAAAAATATTCTTCCCAAATATATTGACATATAGTTGAAATGCAACAATTTGGGCCATATTCAATATATTTCAATAACTATTATATTATATTATATATATATATATATATATATATATTCATATATATACTGCATGTTGAAATGCGTTTTTATTACAAAATATATGAAATATATTTTCAAAATACATTTCAAATATACTGTATGTCTTTAAAAATACAAATCTACATTTTTGGAATGCATTTACAAATATATGTAAAAATATATGTTAAAATGACTTTTTTATATGGGAAAAAAAAAAATCTGAAGAATATATTTAAAAAATGTGTATTTGAAAAAATATATATTTTTAAAATGTATTCTTCAGATTTCTCACAGTTGTGTTCCTGCATTGTCACCCTGTTATATGCCCCCCTGGTGGACACTGTATGGAGCTGTGCCTGCGCACCTTGCATAGGTATGGTCTAAAGCAGGGGTCTCCAAACCTTTCAAACAAAGGGGCAGTTTACTGTCCTTCAGCCTTTAGGGGGGCCAGATTGTGGCCAGTGGGGATAGAAAATATCCCTAGCCTGGCATCAGTGAGAGTAAACAGTGCTTCAAGGTTGGTGGTTAGTAAGAGGAAGGGTAATGCCCCATCATTGGTGTCAATGGGAGGAATGGCGCCCATCATTGGTGTCAGTGGGAGGAGGAATAGCACCCCATCATTGGTGTCAGTGGGAGGAATAGCGCCCCATCATTGGTGTCAGTGGGAGGAATAGCGCCCCATCATTGGTGTCAGTGGGAGGAATAGCGCCCCATCATTGGTGTCAGTGGGAGGAATAGCGTCCCATCCTTGGTGTCAGTGGGAGGAATAGCGCCCCATCCTTGGTGTCAGTGGGAGGAATAGCGCCCCATCATTGGTGTCAGTGGGAGGAATAGCGCCCCATCATTGGTGTCAGTTGGAGGAATAGCGCCCCATCATTGGTGTCAGTGGGAAGCATAGCGCCCCATCATTGGTGTCAGTGGGAGGCATAGCGCCTCATCATTGGTGTCAGTGGGAGGAATAGCGCCCCATTATTGGTATCAGTGAGAGGAATAGTGCTCCATCACTGGTGTCAGTGGTAGGAATAGCGCCCCATCATTGGTATCAGAGGGAGGAATAGTGCACCATCATTGGTGTCAGTGGGAGGAATAGAGCCCCATTGCAGGTGTCAGTGGGAGGAATAGTGCCCCATTGTAAGTGTCAGTGGGAGTAATACCTCCCAATGATGTGAGGTAATATAGTGCCCCAAGGGCCGGATAAAGGCTAGCAAGGGGCCACATTTGGCCCTCGGTTCGATGTTTGGAGACCACTGGTCTAAAGGGTGGACCTCACGGACTTTGTTAGAATAACCGTTTTCCTTTCACCCCATTGTATCTAAACAGCTGGTTGGGGCAAGTGAAGGGATGGATGCTACTCAACCGACGCTAGGAGTCCAATTTTGAGGAATTATCTCAGCCACCATTTTGGCCACATCCTCTGACACATTTCCTCCTTCCCACCGGGACTTGGTGACAGAGGGCTGGTTCTGGCAGTTATTTGAATACAGGCAAAATCACAGAAGCCAGTCAGAGCGGCTCTGTACCTTGTGATTGCTGTGGTTGGATCACAAGTGTAAACAGTGCAGTAGTAAAAAACGAACATCCCGCCCCTTCCTTCTTCAACCGCCGATCACTCTGCCTGATCACAAGTGAAGTTTTTTCCATAAAGTGACTGATCGCCCTACTGATTTCTCATCACCATTATGACATGGCAAGTAGAAGCACCCAGGGTGCCTCCCTCACCTCTCCAGCCAATGAAATTATTGTTTCTAGCTGGGATTCCCCTTCCTATTATTCCATAGAACCAACAACAGCTGTTAATGAAGAAAAACCATCATAAATCCATTCCTCACGAGACACCACCTGCAATCACCTCCTCCTCCCACTAGAGGTCGCTGTCTCCTCTCATCACTTGACACCGACTTCCGCCCTGTGGTTCCTTGACTTCCGCTGTGTGCGTTTCAAGGTAGGCCAGCCTTTTCCGGGTTTCCGTTGCGACGCCCAGCTTTGTGGTTGGCTAGAGGATGACTTCCAGTGGGAAGCCCGAGCTAGCACTAGAGGTCGGCCACATAAAAGTAGGAAGTATCTGCGGTGCAGGAGGGGCGGCGGCCATTTTGTTGTAGATCGCACAGTTCCTCATGACCAAAATAATAGCAACAAAATTGCTTTAGTGACGGATATATGGAATAAACGTTAGTTTCTTCTTGCTTGTAGATTTACAGAAAGAGAATTTGAAACGGTTCTGATGTTCAGTCTCAGTTGTAAGACCAGCTGCCATTTTGCTGTAGCCCATAGTTGAGGACAGGAAGTAACTTTAGTTGTCTCAATCCTGCTGCTGGGGGGGGAGTGTGAGCTGGAGAGTGTGTGCACAGTGAGGAAAAGGTAATAATATATTTTTATTATGAGAGAAGGGGGTCCCAGCACAGTGTGTGACCTGGATGGGGGGAATCATGTCTTCTCCACCAATCCTCATCTTCCTGCGAGTCCTCTGATGGGTAGACCAATAAATGGTGCCGAGGACTCCAGTGCTTCTGGAAAGTAATAAGCGGACTACACCTATTGCTGAGGAATAGAAATGTTTGCGGCTTCAAGCCCACCTCCAGGATATTAGAAACTTCTACCCCTTCTAATTGTGAAAAAAAATCTATCCAAATGGCCATTTTACTTACCTGAAGTCAGTCACAGGATGATCCTTCTCTCTTTCTATGTTTACTTCCTGGGGCCCTTCTTTGGGTGTCCACATCACTGCCTGCTTGGTGTGCACACCTCGCATTGGTGAAGGAAACTCTTCTGGGGGTAGAGTCCTCTGTCATAGGCTCCAGAGGCTGGAGACTGCAGGGGGGTGGTCACATGATGATTGTCTCTTTCTCTGTTTACTTCCTGGGACCCTTCTTCGGGTGTTCACATCACTGCCTACTTGGTGTGCACACCTCTCATTGGTGAAGGCAGGTCTTCTGGGGGCGGAGTCCTCTCCCATAGGCTCCAGAGGCTGGAGAATTCAGGGGGGTGGTCACATGAGGATCCTTCTCTTTTTCGGTTTACCTTCTGTGGTCTTTCTTCAGGTGTCCACATCACTGCCTGCTTGATGTGGACACCTGCCATTGGTGAAGGCAGCTCTTCTGGGGGTAGATTCCTCTGCCATAGGCTCCAGAGGCTGGAGAATCAGGGGGTGGTCACATGATGATCCTCTCTTTTTCTGTTTACTTCCTGCAGCCCTCCTTCGGATGTCCATATCACTGCCTGCTTGATGTGCACACCTCCCATTGGTGAAAGCAACTCTTCTGGGGGCAGAGTCCTCTGCCATAGGCTCCAGAGGCTGGAGAACTGGGGGATGTGGTCACATGATGAGCCTTCTCTTTTTTTCTGTTTACTTTCTGGGGCCCTCCTTCAGGTATCCACATCACTGCCTGCTTGATGTGGACACCTCGCATTGGTGAAGGCAACTTTGGCAACTCTTCTTGGGGTACAGTCCTCTGCCATAGGCTCCAGAGGCTGGAGAACTTTAGGGAGGTGGTGAGAAAAAACAGTACCAGAGAAGATAACGAGAATGGAAAAAAATGTCTGGTCCCCAGGGCAGGATTGGCTCATAGAAGAAACAGACTTTGATCCATTATTACACTGCAGGATGGCTTAGGAAGAGGTGTTTGGAACGAAGACTGAGGGGTAGGGTAATCGATGCAATTTAATTTTTTTACCTGGAGTTGGGTTTTAAATCCTTACATTCTTCAAGGTATGTTTTGATATTGGCCAGGTCAAATAATGTCTACATATGATACCAACAAAATCAGCATAAGTACGTTGAGCATGTCATGATGTCTCCCTTCTTTTGTCAGAACCAAGACGGACGTCATTATACTGTTTCGATTTTTAAAAAAATTTTATGCTTTAAAGCTCTTTATTAATGAGGTTTTATTGATTAGTTCAGGCTTAGACAAACCAGTGGGAATATTTAAAAGGATGTACTAATCTGATGGCGAGCCAGCCGCCCCCCACATCACCGGGTAGGCTAGTAGCAGAGGTCACATGATTTCTTTGAAATGTGTTTTGCATGATGACGTTGATGTTTTTCAGATGTATTCAGCTGTGTACACCACCCCGTGTTCTAATTATGAGCTGTGAAATCTGAAGAAGTGGAAGTATCTAGAAGGACACAAGGACCTCTACAAGAACGTCATGATGGAGAACCGGCCGCCCCTCACATCCCCGGGTAAGAGGAGACTTTCATTTCTTGTATTGAGGATCCACCTAGATACACACATCCTCTGATATAAAGACATAGAAACAATAGAGAAGTGTGAGTATATATAAGGACACAAGGATCTGTAGAAGGACGTCATGATGGAGGACCGGCCGCCCCTCACATCACCGGGTAAGAGGAGACTTTCCTTTCTTGTAAAGGAGAGAAGTGTATCTACTTAAGGACCAGGCCTATCTGGCATTTATCATGCTTTAGAATAAGATGGGGGTTGTTTCAATTTTTTTATGTCACATGGTATTTGCACAGCGAATTTTCAAATGCAATTTTCTGGGGAAAAATACACTGTAACCACTTGCCCTCCAGAGGATATCCCCCCTGACCAGGCCATTTTTTGCGTTACGGCGCTGCCTTACTTTAACTGACAATTGCGCGGTCATGCAACACCATATATAAATGAAATTTACTTTTTTTCCCCACAAATAGAGCTTTCTTTCATTGGTATTTGATTGCCTCCGAATTTTTATTTTTTGCGCCACAAACAAAAAAAGGCTGACAATTTTAAGAAAAAAACAATATTTCTGATTTTTTGCTAATAAACATGTCCAATAAAAAAAAATTTAAAATAAATTTAGGTAAAAATGTATTCTGCTACATTTCTTTGCTAAAAAAAATCCCAATATGTGTAAAATAATTGGTTTATGTGAAAGTTATACCATCTACAAATGGTGGTATATATACTGGATATTTTTTTTTTCACTAGTAATGGCAGCGATCAGCGACTTATAGTGGGACTGCAGTGGGCATTCTGACACGGGGGGAACTGACTTGGTGTCACTGACATCCCCAGTGACACCATTACAGTGATCAGTGCTAATAAAAAGCGCTAACACTGTACTAATGGCACTGGGCAGGAAGGGGGTTAACATCTGTGGCGATCAAAGGGTTAACTGTGTGCTGTTTCACAGTATGCTGTGTTTGTGCTTTCAACTGTAAGCACACTGCTTTTGTATGGCTCTGCTATGTATTTGATCACCTACTGATTTTGAACGTTTGCCCACTCACAAATAAATGATCGGTCTAAAAATCGAATGGTAGGTGTATTGTAACACTGAGAGACAGAATAGCAACAAAAAATTCAAAAGAAATGCATGTCTAACAAATGATGCACTGATTTGCATGTTCATGAAAGAAATAAGTAATTGATCCCCTATCATTCAGCAGGATTTCTGGCTACCAGGTGTCTTTCATACAGGTAACAAACTGAGATTAGAAGCAGTCTCTTAAAGGGAGTGCTGCTAATCTCATTTTGTTACCTTTATAAAAGATACCTGTCCACAGGAGCAATCAAACAATCAGATTCCAAACTCTCCACCATGGCAAAGACCAAAGAGCTGTCCAAGGATGTCAGGGACAAGATTGTAGACCTACACAAGGCTGGACTGGGCTACCAACCTATCGCAAAGCAGCTTGGTAAGAAGGTGACAACAGTTGGTGCAATCATTCGCAAATGGAAGTAACACAAAACAACTGTCAGTCTCCCTAGGTCTGATGCACGATCTCACCTCGAGCAGTGTCAATGATCATGGGAACAGTAAGGAAAAATCCCAGAACTACACATGAGGATCTTGTCAATGATCTCCAGGCAGCTGGGAACACAGTCACCAAGAAAACAATTGGTAACACACTACGCCGACAAGGATTGAAATCCTGCAGTGCCCGCAAGGTCCCTCTGCTCAAGAAAGCACATGTCCAGGCCCGTCTGAAGTTTGCCACTGAACATCTAAATGATGCAGAAGAGGACTGGTTGAAAGTGTTGTGGTCAGATGAGACCAAAATCGAGCTCTTTGGCAGCAAGTCAACTCGTCGTGTTTGGAGGAGGAGGAATGCTGCCTGTGACCCCAAGAACACCATCCCAACTGTCAAACGTGGTGGAAACATTCTGGTTTGGGGGGTGTTTTTTCTGCTCAGGGGACAGGACAACTGCACCACATCAAAGGGACGATGGATGGGGCAATGTACCATCAAATCTTGGGTGAGAACCTTCTTCCCTTAGCCAGGGCATTGACAATGGGTCATGGATAGGTGTTTCAGCATAACAATGACCCAAAATAAACGGCCAAGGCAACAAAGGAGTGGCTCAAGAAGAAACACATTTAGGTCCTGGAGTGGCCTAGCCAGTCTCCAGACCTACAGTGGGGCAAAAAAGTATTTAGTCAGCCACCAATTGTGCAAGTTCTCCCATTTAAAAAGATGAAAGAGACCTGTAATTGGCATCATAGGTAGACCTCAACTATGAGAGACAAAATGAAAAAAAAAAATCCAGACCATCACATTGGCTGATTTGGAAAGAATTTATTTGCAAATTATGGTGGAAAATAAGTATTTGGTCAATATCAAAAGTTAATCTCAATACTTTGTTATATATCCTTTGTTGGCAATGACAGAGGTCAAACGTTTCCTGTAAGTCTTCACAAGGTTGGCACACACTGTTGCTGGTATGTTGGCCCATTCCTCCATGCAGATCTCCTCTAGAGCAGTGATGTTTTGGGGCTGTCGCTGGGCAACACGGACTTTCAACTCCCTCCAAAGGTTTTCTATGGGCTTGAGATCTGGAGACTGGCTAGGCCACTCCAGGACCTTGAAATGCTTCTTACGAAGCCACTCCTTCGTTGCCCGGGCGGTATGTTTGGGATCGTTGTCATGTTGGAAGACCCAGCCACGTTTCATCTTCAATGCCCTTGCTGATGGAAGGAGGTTTGCACTCAAAATCTCACGTTACATGGTCCCATTCATTCCGTCCTGTACATGGATCAGTCGTCCTGGTCCCTTTGCGGAGAAACAGCCCCAAAGCATGATGTTGCCACACCCATGCTTCACAGTAGGTATGGTGTTCTTTGGATGCAACTCAGCATTCTCTCTCCTCCAAATACGACGAGTTGTGTTTCAACCAAACAGTTCTATTTTGGTTTCATCTGACCATATGACTTTCTTCCAATCCTCTTCTGGATCATCCAAATGCTCTCTAGCAAACTTCAGACGGGCCCAGACATGTACTGGCTTAAGCAGGGGGACACATCTGGCACTGCAGGATCTGAGTCCCTGGCGGCGTAGTGTGTTATTGATGGTAGCCTTTGTAACGTTGGTCCCAGCTCTCTGCAGGTCATTCACTAGGTCCCCCCGTGTGGTCCGGGGATTTTTGCTCACCGTTCTTGTGATAATTTTGACCCCACGGGGTGAGATCTTGAGTGGAGCCCCAGATCGAGGGAGATTATCAGTGGTCTTGTATGTCTTCCATCTTCTAATTATTGCTCCCACAGTTGATTTGTTCACACCAAGCTGCTTGCCTATTGCAGATTCAGTCTTCCCAGCCTGGTGCAGGTCTACAATTTTGTTTCTGGTGTCCTTCGACAGCTCTTTGGTCTTCACCATAGTGGAGTTTGGAGTGTGACTGTTTGAGGTTGTGGACAGGTGTCTTTTATACTGATAACAAGTTCAAACAGGCGCCATTGATACAGGTAATGAGTGCAGGACAGAGGAGCTTCTTAAAGAAGAAGGTACAGGTCTATGAGAGCCAGAAATCTTGCTTGTTTGTAGATGACCAAATACTTATTTTCCACCATAATTTTGCAAATAAATTCTTTCCAAATCAGCCAATGTGATTGTCTGGATTTTTTTTCTCATTTTGTCTCTCATAGTTGAGGTCTACCTATGATGCCAATTACAGGCCTCTCTCATCTTTTTAAGTGGGAGAACTTGCACAATTGGTGGCTGCCTAAATACTTTTTTGCCCCACTGTAAATCCGATTGAAAATCTGTGGAAGGAGCTGAAAGTTCGAGTTGCCAAACCTCAGCCACCAAACCTTAAGGACTTGGAGAGGATCTGCCAAGAGGAGTGGGACAAAATCCCTCCTGAGATGTGTGCAAACCTGGTGGCCAACTGCAGGAAATGTCTGACCTCTGTGATTGCCAACAAGGGATTTGCTACCAAGTACTAAGTCATGTTTTGTGAAGGGGATCAAATACTTATTTCCTTCATGAACATGCAAATCAGTGCATCATTTGTTAGACATGCATTTCTTTTGAATTTTTTGTTGCTATTCTGTCTCTCAGTGTTACAATACACCGAACATTCGATTTTTAGACTGATCATTTCTTTGTGAGTGGGAAAACATTCAATATCAGCAGGGGATCAAATACACATTTCCTTCACTGAATGTAAAGCTTCATTAAAGCCTTTTTGGACCCATATCGGAGATCCTCGGTGTGCCAGTGACATTCCTCTCCGCTGACTCTGCTTGGTTCCAGCCAACGGTCGCTGCAGCACCCACCTATGCATACAGCCATTTTTTTAGCAGGAAAGTGTGCATTGGGATTGTGCATTTTTGTTTTGGCGGCACACAGAAGGTTTTTTTAAATGCCCGATGAAGGGGTCCTGCGAGACTCTGAAACGTTGCCTTGCTGTAACTATGTGATCGTTCATTAAAACTTTTGGACCCATATTGGTGCTCCTCAGTGTGCTGGTGACATTCTCCATTGCTGATTCTGTTCGGTTCCAGCCGACGGTCGCTGCAGCACCCACTTATACACACAGCCATTTTTAAACGCAGAAACGTATGCATTTGGATTGTACACTTGCACAAGGGGATGGGAGCGCTTTAAATTTTTTTTTATATTATTATTTTATTTTTTTTTATTACTTTTTTTTTTTTACACTTCTTTTAAATTATTTATTTTTTTTATCACTTTTATTCCTATCACGAGGAATGTAAACATCACAATATAAGCAGTGACAGGTCCTCTTTATGGAGAGATCTGGGCTCAAAAGGACCCTACATCTCTTTTCTACAATGGAAAGTATTAGATGAGAAAAAAAAATATTGATCTGATGCTTTAAAAAAAAAAAAAATGGCCTTGTGTACATTGAAATGGAAGTGACATCATGACGTCACTCACTCTGGTCCTCCTAGGCCACAGAGATGAACCATAGGCCATTTTTTCCCTGCTTATCTTTATGCCCAGCCATCGCCATCATTGGATCAGTTCTCGGTTTCACCGATCAGGTAAGCCATAGAACCACTGGAAAGCAGCTGGAGGTGTCGCCACTGGATGACTTTTATCGGAAAGACCGGTGCCTAAGGGAAGAGTTAAAGCGGTAGTAAAGTCTTGATAGGAAAATATAAGAAATGCCCCCCTGCATATTTAAGTCATAATGCGCCCCATACTAGTACATTATGAAATACTTGCTTACAAACGGAGCTCTCCAGCGATGCGCTGTCGGAGTTCTCCCCAGTCCTTGGTGCTTCCATCTTCACTGGTCTTCCTTCTGGGTCTTGCATCTTTGGCTGCTTGATTGGCTGGGCCACTATGACATCACTCCCGTGCATGCGTGTGGAAGTAACATTTCAGAGCGGGCCGTAAATGTGGTCTGAGCTGCGCATGTGCGGCTCAGATCACATTACTCACTGACAGATGAAGGAGGGGGGCATTTATGAGAGAAGATATCTCTAGTCCAGCTAGGTGGTCGGCAAGTGGGTATTGAGGATCCACCTAAATACACACATCCTCTGATATAAAGACATAGAAACAATGTATTCAGTCAGTGTGTGTGTTTCCTACAGATGGATCCAGTAATGGGAACCCACCAGAGAGATGTCCCCGTCCTCTGTATTCCCGGGAGACCACACAGGAACATCAGGAGATCCCTCAGGAGGATCAGGTAGATGGAACTAACTGCTTTCTTATACAAAAGCTTGGATAATAAATGTAATTTCTGTATTGCTTTGTATTGTTAGAATGAAGATCTGATTAATATTAAAGTTGAAGATGAAGAAGATTTGTACATGGAGGGTGATGAGTCATGTATGGAGGAGGAGATCCCTCCAGAGATCAGCACAGGTGAGGAATAAACACTAAATCCAGAGAAGAGTCCCAGATCCTCCTTGTTCAGTGACTTCTACAATCTCTTCTTCTCCCCCCTTTTCTGTCAGTAGACAGTAATGGGGGGACAGTATGTGCCCAGTGGGGGGGGGGGGGTCAGGAGCCATCAGCCTCTATTAGACTCCTTGTCTCCTCCTCACATCATGTCATTGAGATGTGACCAGTCTCCCCCCACACACACTCTCCCTGGGGTCTCTCATACATCTCAGTACAGGGGGATTCATTCTCATCTTTATTCACAGACCCCGGAGAGCCAGAGAGAGATGTCAAAGGTGAGGAGAAGGAAGAAGAACATGTGGTATTTAAAAAGGAGGAAGTTCCTGTAGTGATCAGCACAGGTGAGTAATAAACTATATAGAGAAACATGAAAAGGTTTCTTCACAGTAAGAGCTGTGAAAATGTGGAATAGACTCCCTCAAGAGTTGGTCCTGGCCAGCTCAGTGGATTACTTTAAAAAAGTCCTGGATTCTTTCCTAGATACACAGAATATAACTGGATACTAACATTTATAGGTAAAGTTGATCCAGGAAATATCCGATCGCCTCTCGGGGAATCAGGTAGGAATTATTTCCCCTGCAGGAGCAAATTGTATCATGCTTTGCTGTTTTTTTTTTTGCCTTCCTCCGGATCAACTGTGGGTGTAGGATTATAACTTTTTTTTTTTTTCTAATGGTTGAACTGGATTAACTTTTGTCTTTTTTCAACCAGACTAACTATGTAACTATGTAAGAGAAATATTTACTGATTATGATTTTTTTTTTTTTTTCGCAGCTTGGTTCTGTACATTTAATTTTCTGCTGTCTTTGTGGATTGTAATTCAAAAGTAGAATAGTTTTGCATTTATATTTGTGATACAAGTCTGCCTTAGTCCATCATGTTAGTGGAATATGCATCTACCTCTACATGTCAGTGGTTCTTCTCTAGTCTAGCTGCATGCTATGTCTTTGAATGCTTCAGCTCAGTGGAAGTGCTCAGGAAGGAAGGTAAAGCTGAAGTATGATCTCTATTAAACCAAAGAAAAAGAAACTGTGCTTATGTGATAAAAAAGAAACCGCGCTCGAAATATTAACACTAAGCCACAGGCTCTGGTAGTAAGTCAAGATGCACTATACTCTAAATTTATACTTTAAGCCCAAGTTCACATACAGTGAAGGAATTGTGTATTTGATCCCCTGCTGATGTTGAATGTTTGCCCACTCACAAGGAAATGATCGGTCTAAAAATCGAATGATCGGTGTATTGTAACACTGAGAGACAGAATAGCAACAAAAAATTCAGCAGAAATGCATGTCTAACAAATGATGACTGATTTGTATGTTCATGAGGGAAATAAGTATTTGATCCCCTTCACAAAACATAACTTAGTACTTGGTAGCAAATCCCTTGTTGGCAGTCACTGAGGTCAGACGTTTCCTGTAGTTGGCCCCCAGGTTTGCACACATCTCAGGAGGGATTTTGGCCCACTCCTCTTGGCAGATCCTCTCCAAGTCATTAAGGTTTGGTGGCTGATGTTTGTCAACTCAAACTTTCAGCTCCATCCACAGATTTTCAATCGGATTAAGATCTGGAGACTGGCTAAGCCACTCCAGGACCTTCATGTGCTTCTTCTTGAGCCACTTCTTTGTTGCCTTGGCCGTGTGTGTTGGGTCATTGTCATGCTGGAACACCCATCTACAACCCATTTTCAATGCCCTGGCTGAGGGAAGAAGGTTCTCACCCAAGATTTGACGGTACATTGCCCCGTCTATCATCCCTTTGATGCAGTGCAGTTGTCCTGTACCCTTAGCAGAAAAACACCCTGACAGTTGGGATGGTGTTCTTGGGGTCATAGGCAGCATTCCTCCTACTCCAAATACGGCGAGTTGAGTTGATGCCAAAGAGCTTGATTTTGGTCTCATCTGACCACAACACTTTCAACCAGTCCTCCTCTGCATCATTCAGATGTTCAGTGGCAAACTTCAGACGGGCGTGGACATGTGCTTTCTTTGAGCAGAGAGACCTTGCGGGCACTAAAGGATTTCAATCCTTGTCGGCGTAATGTGTTATCAATTGTTTTCTTGGAGACTGTGGTCCCAGCTGCCTGGAGATCATTGACAAGATCTCTCACATGTAGTTCTGGGATGATTCCTCACTGTTCTCATGATCATTGACACTCCATGAGGTGAGATCTTGCATCGTGCACCAGACCTAGGGAGACTGACAGTTGTTTTGTGTTTCTTCCATTTGTGAATGATTGCTCCAACTGTTGTCACCTTCTCACCAAGCTGCTTGGCGATAGTTTGGTAGCCCAGTCCAGCCTTGTGTAGGTCTACAATCTTGTCCCTGACATCCTTGGACAGCTCTTTGGTCTTTGCCATGGTGGAGAGTTTGGAATCTGATTGTTTGATTGCTCCTGTGGACAGGTGTCTTTTATATAGGTAACAAAATGAGATTAGCAGCACTCCCTTTAAGAGACTGCTTCTAATCTCAGCTTGTTACCTGTATGAAAGACACCTGGTAGCCAGAAATCCTGCTGAATGATAGGGGATCAATTACTTATTTCCCTCATGAACATGCAAATCAGTCATCATTTGTTAGACATGCATTTCTTTTGAATTTTTTGTTGCTATTCTGTCTCTCAGTGTTACAATACACCTACCATTCGATTTTTAGACTGATCATTTCTTAGTGAGTGGGCAAACATTCAACATCAGCAGGTGATCAAATACACATTTCCTTCACTGTATCTCATACCTGAATGGTCACTGGGGAAGCTAAAAATCACTGTAGTAGTCAACGCTGCTACAGTGCTAGCCGCAATCTTCCTGGTCCTGTGCCAAGCGGCTTACCTTCTATACATTGGCTACAGGGGGTTGCTCACTCATTTTGAGGTGGAAAACGCACCTCTTTGTCTCAATGTTGCCACCTAAATAATCCCTGAGTACTGTAAGTTGAAATCCTTCAGCTTGTGGGTTATGGTGGGCATTTTGGTGTTGAACCCTGGTCAAGTCATACATTGCCTACCTGTTTGGGACCTCTTTCAAGAGGTTGACTCAGGGTAGTTCATGTATTATTTTGGAAACCATTGAAAGATGTTCTTGGTGAAGCATTGGTTGGGAAATACCTGAGACGATACCCAAGGCAAAGCCTGAAGGCAGCACATGTCTGCGAAGGTTCGCCTTGATCCCAGTCACAGTTTAGCTACTAGTAGTAGGTGCATTCAGCTGTACTTGTTTTGTAATGTTGAAGAGGTTCCATAGCTTACCAAACCACTTCTCCCGTACGTCTACAGTAGATTGCTATTTTGGACTTATAGAAGTAAGTAATAAGCATTAGTGGTGCACCGAAATGAAAATTCTAGGCTGAGGACAATTTTTAAAAAAAAAAAAATATTTTTTTAATATAAATTTCAATGAATATGCATTTTAAAAAATGTAATCTTGTTACGTAAAATAGCTTTTACTGAAAGTAACACACAAAAATAAAATGAAATATATATTAAATAAAAAAAACGTAAATAGAGGCTTTTCTGCATGGAAGTCAATGGGACACAATTTTGCATTGAAGTCAGTTATCATTTTTGGAACTTTTTTTTTTTTTTTTTCTAACGGCAAAACACCATTAATCCTATTTTCGGCCGATAATTTTCGGTGGCCAATATATCGGTGCATCACTAGTAAGCATACATTCCAATGTTATGATGGTTTTCAACACTCAGAGAATAACGCCTCTGATCTTTTGAATGTCATTGAAGATTCAGCTGCTCCTTGGATCCAGTATTGGAGAGGAAGAGATACTTGGTGAGCCATGGCTAAACATTTGTCTCCCTGTAATGGTCTGTGTGATTTCAATGACTTTTTTTTGTAGGGGGGGGGGCCTCTTCTCTCCAATCAGCTCTCAGAGCTCTCCTCACTGAGCTCTGCAGAGTGTAATTTCAGCTCTCTGTCCCTTGCTTTCTGAAAGCTCAGACAAGCTGTATAAATTCAGATGTAGAGAAGAGACGGCTGCAGATAACCAGGTACAACTTATGTAGGAGGATTTGTTTAATCTCTGCGTATCACAGAGGTCAGTCACTACACTGGGTATATGTAGGGGTTTACAGCCACTTTAAAGATCTATTTGTATGTTTCCTACAGGGGCACTCAGGAACCGGAACACGACAGAGGGATGTCCCCGTCCTCTGTGTTCCCAGGCTTCTACACAGGACGATCACAAGATCCCACAGGATGATCAGGTATATGGAACACGGGGTTCTAAAGCAAAGGTAAACTCTGACAATTGTCATTATTTGAAAAGTAAAACACTTGTTTCACCTTTTTTATACATGTTGCTGATCACCCACAGTCTCTTTGCGGCCACTTTAGCGATGGTTGCATGGTACTTGTCCATATCTCCCAATTGTGCTCCTGCATTGTTACCCTGGCACATGGGCTTCTAATGGACTCTACAAGTCCTTGTTCCAACACACATTGCAAGAACATGGTCCACAGCTTGCAATGTGTGTTGAAACAAGGACTTGTAGACTCCATCAGAAGCCCATGTGCTATTTTGATTTCAGAGCAAAAATGCTTCCTATTGACTTCAGTGCAAAATTGCGTCCCGTTGACTTCAATGCAAAAATACCCCCTATTGACTTCAATGCAAAATTGCGTCCATTGACTTCAATGCAAAATGCCCCTTATTGACTTCAATGCAGAATCGCCTCCCATGGACTTCAATGCAGAATCGTATCCCATTGACTTCAATGCAAAATCGTATACCATTGACTTCAATGCAAAAAAAGCCTCTATTTACGTTTTTTTAGGACTTGTAGACTCCATCAGAAGCCCATGTGGCAGGGTGACAACTCAGGAGCACAATTGGGAGATATGGACAGAGCGTTGTCACCCTGCCACATGCTCAACTGTTAGTGGAATAATAACAAAGTGGAAGCAACTGGGAACAACAGCAACTCAGCCACCAAGTGGTAGGCCATGTCACATGACAGAGCGGGCTCAGCGCATGCTGAATCGCACAGTGCGCAGAAGTCGCCAACTGTCTGCAGAGTCAATAGCTTAAGACCTCCAAACTTGGTGTGACCTTCAGATTAGCACAACAACAGTGCGTAGAGAGAGCTTCATGTAATGGGTTTCCATGGCCGAGCAGCTGCATCCAAGCCTTACATCACCAAGTGCAATGCAAAGCGTCAGATGCCGTGGTGTAAAGCACGCCGCCACTGGACTCTAGAGCAGTGGAGATGTGTTCTCTGGAGTGACCAATCACGCTTCTCTGTCTGGCAATCCGATGGACGGGTCTGGGTTTGGCAGTTGCCAGGAGAACGGTACTTGCCTGACTGCATTGTGCCAAGTGCAAAGTTTGGTGGAGGGGGGATTATGGTGTGTTTTTTTTCAGGGGTTGGGCTTGGCCCCCTAGTTCCAGTGAAGGGAACTCATAAGGCGTCAGCATACCAAGACATTTTGGATAATTTCATGCTCCCAACTTTGTGGGAACAGTTTGCGGATGGCCCCTTTTTTTTCCAACATGACTGCATACCAGTGCACAAAGCAAGGTCCATAAAGACATGGAGGAGCCAGTTTGGGGTGGAGGAACTTGACTGGCCTGCACAGAGCCCTGACCTGAACCCCATAGAACACCTTTGGGATGAATTAGAGCGGGAGACTGCAAGCCAGGCCTTCTCGTCCGACATCTGTGCCTGACCTGACTAATGTGCTTCTGGAAGAATGGTCAAACCTTCCCATAGACACCCTCCTAAACCTTGTGGACGGCCTTCCAGAAGAGTTGAAGCTGTTATAGCTGCAAAGGGCGGGGCCAACTCAATATTGAACCCTACAGACTAAGACTGGGAGGCCATTAAAGGTCATGTGCGTGCAAAGGCCGTCCGACCAATACTTGTGGCAGTATAGTGTCTATGCCAGTTATACAGCCATTTCTTTTGCTCTTTGCACAAAGCATTCATCTTCAGCCTTGAATATTTGTTTGTGTTTTATTCAGGGTGAAAATTTGATCAAAGTGGAAGTTAAAGCCGAAGCAGAACAGCTGTATGTGGGAGGCGATGAGCTGTTCAAAGGTGAAGAAATTCATCCAGAGATTGGAATAGGTGCGTAATAAAAAAATACAGAAATGAGTCACAGATTCTGATTGTGTATATAGTGCCCCCCCCTAAGAAAAAAAAACCTGATTATGATGTTCACAAGCTTTTAACTTTGGATTGGATGAGGTGGTGAGTTTTATGTCATCATCCCCTCCTCTCCTCCTTATCCAATCACAGAAAACCTTGGATTCACTAGAAGAAATACAAGATGTTTGCTGAATGGTGGAGGTACGGGAGTGAGAGATTCCCTGTGTTCAGTGTACAGGCAGCAAGTTGTTCCAGCAGAACCCGGAACAGGACAGCACTGACTGCATGTAGCGCAGACTACTACAATCAGAGCTACCAATAGTCAGCACTACTACTACAGTACATTTCAGCATCATCAATGGTCCTCCAAATGTGACACGTGGATAGGTAAATGCAATCAAGCTTTAAAGTGGTTGCAAAGGCTGAAGGTTTTTTACCTGCATGCATTCTATGCAAGAAGGTAATATACCTTCTGTGTACAGCCCCCCAGAGTGCCCCCTTAGTACAGTAGTATTAAGGGGGCACTCTGGAGGATATAAGGGGGCACTCTGGAGGTACTATCACCTCACAATAGTATTCACAATAGTATTTTAGAACCCCCAGAGTGCCCCTTTATATCCTCCAGAGGCCCCTAGTGCCTCCAGAGTGCCCCCCTATTGCAGTAGTACTGAGGGGGCACCCTGGAGGAGGACGTAAGGGGCTACTCTAGAGAAGGATGTAAGGGGGCATGCTGGAGGATATAAGAGGGCACTCTGGAGGTACTAAAATACTACCTTTAGATGCCCCCTTACTTCCTCCTCCAGAGTGTCCCCTTAGCACCTCCAAAGTGCCCCTTACATCCTTTAGAGTGCCCCCTCAGTACCTCCAGAGTGCCTCCTTACATTCTCCAGCATGCCCCCTTAGTGCCTCCAGATTGCCCCATTAATGCTTCTAGAGTGCCCCCTTGGTGCCTCCAGAGTGCCCCATTACATCATCCAGAGTGCCCCCTTAGTGCCTCCAATATGCCCCTCACATCCTTTAGAGTGCCCCCTTAGTGCCTCCTTACATCCTCCAGCATGCCACCTTAGTGCCTCCAGAGTGCCCCCTTAGTACAGTAGTACTAAGGGGTACCCTGGAGGATATAAGGGGCTACTTTAGAGAAGATGTAAGGGGGCACTCTGGAGGTACCTCCAGAGTGCCCCCTTACTTCCTCCAGAGTGCCCTCTTACTCCTCCTCCAGAGCTCAAAATGAGCGTGCAACCCTGGTAGTTCCGTCACTGCTATGAGCTCTGTGTTCTGGTGGGGGGGAGGGCAGTCCTCCCGTCAGAACACGAAGGCTCAGCAGGGGAGATCGCCGCACTAACATCGCTTAGTACGGTGACCTCTCTCTTTTTTTTTTTTTTTTTTTTCGTTTGGACCACTGGGTTGCACGAAAAAAAAAAACCTCTACATATGTACCCAGCATTAGTCAGCTTGTGGGAACCTGCCGGTAAAGGGTCTGCAAAATCACCCATCTTCAAACTTTTGTACTCTCGCACCTTCATCATTGTACTTCGTAGATCTGGTTTCGAGGAAGTCAGCTTGAAAAACTCCCTTTGTAAATAGCATGCGGTGGTAACCAATTAAAATCAAGCTGACAAAAAGCGATATACAAAAAGATTTTCTTTGAAGGTTTGAAGTATCTGAATTTCTTTTCATTTTTTTTTTGCACTAGATAGCAGATACAATGATAATAACTGGGAAAAAAGCGTCACTATTCCTCCTTTTCCAGTGTGTCAACCTATTTCCTCCAGAGTGCCCCATTAATGATTCTAGAGTGCCCCCTTAGTGCCCCCAGAGTGCCCCATTACATCATCCAGAGTGTCCCCTTAGTGCCTCCAGTATGCCCCTCACATCCTTTAGAGTGCCCCATTACATCATCCAGAGTGCCCCATTACATCATCCAGAGTGCCCCATTACATCATCCAGAGTGCCCCATTACATCATCCAGAGTGTCCCCTTAGTGCCTCCAGTATGCCCCTCACATCCTTTAGAGTGCCCCATTACATCATCCAGAGTGCCCCATTACATCATCCAGAGTGCCCCATTACATCATCCAGAGTGCCCCATTACATCATCCAGAGTGCCCCATTACATCATCCAGAGTGTCCCCTTAGTGCCTCCAGTATGCCCCTCACATCCTTTAGAGTGCCCCATTACATCATCCAGAGTGCCCCATTACATCATCCAGAGTGCCCCATTACATCATCCAGAGTGCCTCCTTAGTGCCTTTAGTATGCCCCTCACATCCTTTAGAGTGCCCCCTTAGGCCTCCAGAGTGCCCCATTACATCATCCAGAGTGCCCCCTTAGTGCCTCCAGTATGCCCGTCGCATCCTTTAAAGTGCCCCCTTAGTACCTCCAGTATGCCCCTCACATCCTTTAGAGTGCCCCATTAGTGCCTCTAGTATGCCCCTCACATCCTTTAGAGTGCCCCCTTAGTGCCTCTAGTATGCCCCTCACATCCTTAAGAGTGCCCCCTTAGTACCTCCAGTATGCCCCCTCACATCCTTTAGAGTGCCCCCCCCTTGGTGCCTCCAGTATGCCCCTCACATCATCTTTAGAGTGCCCCCTGAGTGCCTCCAGTATGCCCCATTACATCATCCAGAGTGCCCCCTGAGTGCCTCCAGTATGCCCCATTACATCATCCAGAGTGCCTCCAGTATGCCTCTCACGTCCTTTAGAGTGCCCCCTTAGTGCCTCTAGAGTGCCCCCTTAGTACAGTAGTACTAAGGGGTACTCTGGAGGAGGATGTAAGGGGCTACTCTAGAGAAGGATGTAATGGGGCACTTTGGAGGTACATCCAGAGTGCCCTCTTACATCCTCCAGAGTGCCCCCATACATCCTCCTCCAGAGCTCAAAAAGGGCGTGCGACCCTGGTGGTTCCGCCACTGCTATTAGCTCTGTGTTCTGGCGGCAGGGAGGGCAGGGGGAGATAACATCGCTTAGCTAGTACAGCGACCTCTCTTTTTTTTTTCCTTAGTACCTCCAGTATGCCCCTCACATCCTTTAGAGTGCCCCATTAGTGCCTTTAGTATGCCCCTCACATCCTTTAGAGTGCCCCATTAGTGCCTTTTAGTATGCCCCTCACATCCTTTAGAGTGCCCCCTTAGTGCCTCTAGTATGCCCCTCACATCTTTAAGAGTGCCCCCTTAGTACCTCCAGTATGCCCCTCACATCCTTTAGAGTGCCCCCTTAGTGCCTCCAGTATGCCCCTACATCATCCAGAGTGCCCCCTAGTGCCTCCAGTAGTGCCCCATTACATCATCCAGAGTGCCCCCTGAGTGCCTCCAGTATGCCCCATTACATCATCCAGAGTGCCCCCTGAGTGCCTCCAGTATGCCCCATTACATCATCCAGAGTGCCCCCTGAGTGACTCCAGTATGCCCCATTACATCATCCAGAGTGCCCCCTTAGTGCCTCCAGTATGCCCCATTACATCATCCAGAGTGCCCCCTGAGTGCCTCCAGTATGCCCCATTACATCATCCAGAGTGCCCCCTGAGTGCCTCCAGTATGCCCCATTACAGTCATGCCTCCAGAGTGCCTTCAGTATGCCTCTCACGTCCTTTAGAGTGCCCTCTTAGTGCCTCCAGAGTGCCCCCTTAGTACAGTAGTACTAAGGGGTACTCTGGAGGAGGATGTAAGGGGCTACTCTAGAGAAGGATGTAATGGGGCACTTTGGAGGTACATCCAGAGTGCCCTCTTACATCCTCCAGAGTGCCCCCATACATCCTCCTCCAGAGCTCAAAAAGGGCGTGCGACCCTGGTGGTTCCGCCACTGCTATTAGCTCTGTGTTCTGGCGGCAGGGAGGGCAGGGGGAGATAACATCGCTTAGCTAGTACAGCGACCCTCTCTTTTTTTTTTCTCATTCAGCTGGGTTTCACGAAAAAAAAGAAAGACTCCCTTTGTAAATAGCATGCGGTGGTATCCAATTAAAATCAAGCTGACAAAAAGCGATATACAAAAAGATATTCCTTGAAGGTTTGAAGGATCTGAATTTCTCTTTTTTTTTTTGCACTAGACGGCAGATACAATGATAATAACTGCGAAAAAAGCGCCACTATTCCTCAACAAAACAAAATCCGAATTGATGAGGTCACAGCAGATTCTCCAGGATCCACCCCGGGTAACCCAGCCATTCTCCCTGCAGATCTGACATCCTGGAGCTCTCCTGGTAACTTGGACCCTAAAACCCGTCCTACGGCCCACGCCGAGAGTGAAACCTTCCTGTGTTCTGAATGTAGCGAATGTTTTACCCAGGTAGAGGACCTCACCTCCCATCAGAGAGGTCACGAGAAGGAGAAGCCATATTGCTGTTCCGAATGCGGAAGATGTTTCTCTCAAAAAGTGCAGCTCAGCAGACACCAAAGAACTCACTTGGCTGAGCAGCCCTTTTTATGTACGGAGTGCGGAAAATGTTTCACGGGAAAATGGATACTGGCTAAACATCAGAGCATTCACATGAGGGACATGGAGTATTCATGTTCTGAATGTGGGAAATGCTTTGCTTTCAGGTCCTCCCTGACGAAGCACAAGAGGACTCACGCTGGGGAGAAGCCGTTCTCATGTTCAGAGTGCGGGAGGTGGTTTCCCAACAGGGAAGGTTTCTCCGGGCATCAGATGGCTCACGCTGGGAAGAAACCGTTTTCATGTTTGGAATGCGGAAAATGCTTCTCCCAGAAATCAAACCTCACCACTCACGAAAAAGTTCACACGGGGGTGAAGCCGTATTCATGTTTGGAGTGCGGGAAATGTTTTTCCCAGAAGGCCACTCTTACCACCCACGAGAAAGTTCACACGGGTGAAAAGCCATATTCGTGTTCAGAGTGCGGGAAATGTTTCTCCCAGAAATCCACTCTCACCACTCACGAGAAGGTCCACACGGGCGTTAAGCCGTATTCGTGTCTGGAATGCGGGAAAAAGTTTTTCCCAGAAGTCGACGCTCACCACTCACGAGAAGGTTCACACGGGGGAGAAGCCCTATTCGTGTTCGGAGTGCGGGAGGTGCTTTTCCAACAGGCGGAATCTTATTGGCCACCAGACGACTCATACGGGGGAGAAGCCGTATTCGTGTCTGGAATGCGGTCGGTGTTTTTCCAACAGGCGAAATCTCATCGCACATCAGATAACTCACACAGGGGAGAAGCCGTATTCGTGTTCGGAGTGCAGGAGATGTTTTTCCCATAAGTCGGCTCTGACCAGCCATGAAAAAATTCACACTGGGGCAAAGCCGTATTCGTGTTCTGAGTGCGGGAAATGTTTTTCGTTTAATTCATCTCTTTTTAAGCATAAGAAAACCCACAATGGGGAAAAGGCAGTTTTATGATCTTAGTGCGGGAAGTGTTTTGTCCACAAATTGATTTTCACATCATATCTCAGTTTCTATAGGGGACATGGGTTTCATATGATAGAACAGGGGGTCTCCAAACTTTTTTTTATAAAAGAACCATTTTACTCTCCTTCCGACTTTAGGAGAGCAAGTGGGAGGAGAAAATACCTCGGGCTTGATGGTCAGTGGGTGGAGGAATAGTGTCCCATCATTGGTGTCACTTGGAGGAATAGTGCCCCATCATTGGTGTCAGTGGGAGGAATAGTGCCCCATCATTGGTGACAGTAGAAGGAATATTGCCCTATTGTTGGTTTTAGTGGGATGAATAGTGCCGCATCATTGGTGTCAGTAATAGTGCCCCATCATTGGTGTCACTTGGAGGAATAGTGCCTCATAATTGGTGCCAATAGAAGAAATATTGCCCTATTGTTGGTTTCAGTGGGATGAATAGTGCCCCATCATTGGTGTCAGTGGCAGGAATAGTGCCCCATCATTGGTGTCAGTGGGAGGCATAGTGCCCCATCATTGGTGTCAGTGGCAGGAATAGTGCCCCATCATTGGTATTAGTGGGGAGGAATAGTGCCCCATCATTGGTGTCAGTGGTAGGAATAGTGCCCCATCATTGGTATTAGTGAGGAGGAATAGTGCCCCATCAATGATATCAATGGAATAAATAATGCCCTATCATTGGTGTCCGTGGGAGGAATAGTACCCCATGCTGTTAGTGGGAGGAATAGTGCCCAATCATTGGTGTCAGTGGCAGGAATAGTGCCCCATCATTGGTGTCAGTGGCAGGAATAGTGTCCCATCATTGGTATCAGTGGGAGGAATAGTGCCCCATCATTGGTGTCAGTGGTAGGAATAGTACCCTATCATTGGTGTCAGTGGGAGGAATAGTGCCCCATCATTGATATCAGTGGCAGGAATAGTGCCCCATCATTGGTGTCAGTGGGAGGAATAGTGCCTCATCATTGGTATCAATGAATACCCTGTCATTGATACTAGTTGGAGGAATAGTGTCCCATCTTTGGTGTTAGTGGAAGGAATAGTGCCCCATCATTGGTGTCAGTGGCAAGAATGGTTCCCCATTGTTGGTATTAGTGGGAGGAGTAGTGCTCCAACTTTGATGTCAGTGGGAGGAACGATGTTCCAACATTTATATTGGTGGAAGGAAGTATGGCCCATCATTGGTGCCAGTGAAAGGAATAAGGCCCCACTGTTGTCGTAAATGAGAGGAATTACGCCCCAATGTTGGTGTCAGTGGAAAGAATGGTGCCTCATCACTGGTGTCAATAGGAGGAAATATTGCCTTGAATCAATTAGAGAAATAGCACCCCAAGGGCCACAAAAAGGCAAGAAAAGAGCCGCATCCATCTGGGAAGCACTGTGCTGGAAGGTGGAGGCTTAGTTTTGGTAGGTGCACACAAGTCTCATAGTCCCAGAGAAAAGAATACAAGTGTGAAATTGTAACTCCACCCAATTCTGTTTTAGTTTTGTATGCTGTGAGAAGGGTCGTTACTCGTGTCAGGCGTGTTATAGTTGGAAAAGATGTAGTCACCATGTTCGTATAATGCAGATAAAGTTCATTAGTTACAAAACTCTTAGGAAGTGCCAACACGTTTGGGGTTTCCGGGGCCTCCTTCAGAAGTGCTTGAGACTTTTATCCTCCAATATGTTTTTAAATATATCGGCCGTAAACAGTGTTTTTGGCATTTTGACAGTAGGAAAAAAGCTGCAGGCAATGTTGCCAATACATGCAACGTCGTATCTCATAGACTTTCATACAAAAACGCCCTCTAGTGACTTCAATGCAAAATGGCGTCTCAGAATTTCATGCTAAGTTGCTTCCCCATTGACTTTACTGCAAAATCACCCCCTAGGACTTCAATGCAAAATCGTGTCTCATAGACTTTCATGCAAAGTCGCGTCCCTATTGACTTCAATGCAAAAACGCCCCCTTGTGACTTCAATGCAAAATCGTGTCATATAGACTTTAACGCAAAGTTGCATTCCTATTGACTTCAATGCAAAAACACCCCCTAGTGACTTCAATGCAAAATCGTGTCCCATTGACTTTCATGGAAAGTCGCGTCCCTATTGACTGCAATGCAAAAACGCCCCCTTGTGACTTCAATTCAAAATCGCTTCACATAGAGTTTCATGCAAAGTTGTGTTCCTATTGACTTCAATTCAAAAACTCCCCTTAGTGACTTCAATGCAAAATCGCGTCCCATAGACTTTAATGCAAAGTCACGTCCCTATTTAGTTTCATGTAGTGATGCCCCCTAGTGATTGAAATGCAAAATCGCGTTTCATAGAATTTCATGCTAAGTTGCTTCCCCATTGGCTTTAATGCAAAAACACCCCCTGGTGACTTCAATGCAAAAACGTGTCTAACTTTCATGCAGTGGCATCCCTATTGATGTCAATGAAAAAAATGCCCGCTGATGACTTCTATGCAAAATTGCGTCACATAGACTTTCATGCAAAGTTGCTTTCCTATTGACTTCAATGCAGAAACACCTCCTAGTAAATTCAATGCAAAATTGCATCTTATAGACTTTCATGCAAAGTCACGTCCCTATTGACTTCAATGCACTCAAATGCGCCCTTGTGACTTCAATGCAAAATCACGTCTCATGGACTTTCATGCAAAGTCACATCCCTATTGACTTCAATGCAAAAACACCCCCTGGGGACTTCAATGCAAAATCGTGTCCCATTGACTTTCATGCAAAGTCGCGTCCCTATTGACTTCAATGTAAAAACACCCCCTAGTGACTTCAATGCAAGGGGGCAAGGGGTGAGAGGATGACGAAGGTATAAGTATCTCCAATAGTGCAAGGGTGATTGATACTGCACTGAGTGAGGACAGGAAAGGGTAAGAGCTTAAGGGGTTTTTTTTATGACTTTTAAACTTGAAGGGTTTTTTGCTCATCTATGTCTAAGGACACTAAAAGCAGTTTTAGCTCATCCTCTGCTCCCGCAGGACTGCTCATGCAACCTCTTTTGCCCTGCACTTTGGCGACCAGATGCTCCTGACATCATCAAGTCTGATGCAGAGAGTATAGCTCTGCAGTGGATGAGGGGACACCATGGGGCAGTCCACTTCTAGATCATAGGGGTGTGCCGTTTGCCCAGGGAGCAGAGGATCGGGTAAGTAAAACTGCTTTTGATGCCTCCTAAAATAAAGGAGTATTTAACTGTCCGGACCCCGCATTCACTATATCCGGTCTTCCTGGACCCTGCATTCACTATATCCGCTCTCCCCAGACTTCGCATTCCCTATATCCGGTCTCCCCGGTACCTGCATTCACTATATCCGCTCTCTCCAGACCCTGCATTCACTATATCTGCGCTCCCTGGACCCTGCATTCACTATATCCATTCTCCCTGGACCCTGCATTCACTATATCCGTTCTCCTGGACCCTGCATTCACCAGGTCTCCCCGGACACTGCATTCACTATATCCGCTCTCCCTGACCCTGCATTCACTATATCCGCGCTCCCCAGACCCGGCATTCACTATATCTGCTCTCCCCAGACTTCGCATTCCCTATATCCGCTCTCCCAGGATCCCGCAATTCACTATATCTGCTCTCCCCAGACCCCGCATTCACTATATCCTCTCTCCCCGGACCCTGCATTCACTATATCCAGTCTCCCCGGACCCTGCATCCCCTATATCCAGTTTCCCCGGATCCTGCATTCACTATATCTGGTCTCCCCGGACCCTGCATTCACTATATGGCCCCCCCCCCCCCCCCCCCCCCCCCGGACCCTGCATTCACCATATCCGCTCTCCCTGGACCCTGCATTCACCACATCCGCTCTCCCTGGACCCTGCATTCACCATATCCGCTCTCCTCGGACCCTGCATTCACTTTATCTGCTCTCCCCGGCCCCGCATTCACTATATCCGCTCTCCCCGGACCCCGCATTCACTATATCCGCCCTCCCCCGGACCCCGCATTCACTATATCCGCTCTCCCCAGACTTCGCATTCCCTATATCCGGTCTCCCCGGTACCTGCATTCACTATATCCACTCTCCCCAGACCCTGCATTCACTATATCCACTCTCCCCAGACCCTGCATTCACTATATCTGCTCTCCCAGGACCTTGCATTCACTATATCCGCTCTCCCCGGACCCCACATTCATTATATCTGCTCTCCCCGGACCCCGCATTCACTATATCTGCTCTCCCCAGACCCTGCATTCACTATATCCAGTCTCCCCAGACCCTGCATTCTATATCCAATTTCCGGATCCTGCATTCACTATATCTGGTCTCCCCGGACCTTGCATTCACTATATCCGCTCTCCTCGGACCCTGCATTCACTATATTTACTCTCCCAGGACCCTGTATTGCTATTCCGCCTTCCCGGACCCTATTCACTATATCCTCTCCCCTGGAACCTGCATTCACTATATCTCTCTCCCCGGACCTTGCATTCACTATATCCGCTCTCCCCGGACCCTGAATTCACTATATCCGGTTACTCTCCCCGGACCCTGCATTCACTATATCCGGTCTCCCGGACCCTGCATTCACTATATCCGCTCTCCCCGGACCCTGCATTCACTATATCCAGTCTCCCCAGACCCTGCATTCCCTATATCCAATTTCCCGATCCTGCATTCACTATATCCTGGTCTCCCCGGACCTTGCATTCACTATATCCGCTCTCCTCGACCCTGCATTCACTATATTTTTTACTCTCCCCGGACCCTGCATTCACTATATCCGCTCTCCCCGGACCCTGCATTCACTATATCCGCTCTCCCCGGACCCTGCATTCCCTATATCTGGTTTCCCCGGACCCTGCATTCACTATATCCGGTCTCCCCAGACCCTGCATTCACTATATCCGGTCTACCCGAACTCTGCATTCACTCTAATCGGTCTCCCACAGTACACAGAACATGGAAATGCAATTATTTTATAGTATATATAAACTGCTAAATACCTTTTCTCATCAGTTAGAGCAGTCTTGTAACATCTATCAGTGTCCAGCAGAGCACTGGTTAAAGCTTTGTAGGGGAAGTTTTCATTTTGTACTAGGTGGATGCAGGACCCCTGGTCTGGACAGCGCTAATTGGCTCTGTGCTGATCACTTGCACCCTCGCAAGAAAAAAAAACAAACTAGCAAATACACACCAAACTGAGCATATGCAGATCGACTCCTAGAGCTCTGTATTATCAGCAGATGGATAGGGGACAGTAGAAGAAGGGGAAGATCAGAGAAGACAGGATGAAACAGCCTTTTTACACAGTGCGGAGCATTAACCCCTTAGGTTCCACAGTGAGTAAAACAAGCATGCTTTACTGCATATACAGACTGATGTTACTGTTGTGGGTTTAGTATCACTTTAAGACTTTCCTGTTTCTCCAACCTATAGATAGATGCTTTACAGATGGTCGTCTTCTCACTTTTTTTTTTTCATTTACAAAAAAGAATCTTTCAATAAAACATGATAGAAAATCTAATTTCTGTCTAATTGTATTTGTCTTCGGAGAATATTTTATATTCCCTATCTGGGTATTTTCTGTACATTTACCTATTTTGTCACTTCTGTCGGATCTGTTAGGCTCAGCTTAGGCTCTACTAGTAACATTATAGAACGACTTCCAGCGATGGGATACTTATATCAATCGGCCATAACTTTATGACCACTGACTGGTAATCTGAATACCAGCCTTGTGACAACGGCATCTGAAAGTGGGTGGGATATGTTAGGCAGCAAGTGAAGATGTTATCACTGAAGTTGATGGGTTGAAAGCTGAAAAAACGGGGAAGTGTAAGGGTTGGAGTGGCTTTGACAAGGGCCAAATTGTAATGGCTAGACCAGCCTTTCTCAACCTTTTCAATGCAGAGGAACCCTTGACATAACTTTCTGCTCTCAGGGAACCCCTGCTAAAATGACTTTATCTACAATTCATGATACATCAGTGTGATAGTCAGAGGTTAGAATTCTCCTCACACTTGTGGTCATTGGGAAGAATTACCCCCTTACAGTGGGAACTTACCTGAGAGGCAAAAAATGCTCATTGCTCAAGGAACCCCTGGAAACCTCTGGAGGAACCCTAGTTGAGAAACCCTGGGTTAGACGATGGGGTCAGAGCACTTCCAAAACTGCAGCTCTTGTGGGATGTTCCCAATCTGAAGTGGTCAGGACTGACCAAAAGTGGTCCAAGGAATGGAAACCAGCGACAGGGTCATGGAGGTCGAGCCTCATTGATGCACATGGGGAGCAAAGGCTGGCCTGTGTAGAAGAGCTACTGGAGCTCAAATTGCTGAAAAATGTAATGCCAGTTCTGATAGAAAGGTGTCAGAACCCACAGAGCATCAAGATAATTCATGATACATCAGTGTGATAGTCAGAGGTAAGAATGCTCCTCACACTTGTGGTCATTGGGAAGAATTACCTCCTTACAGATTGCTAAAAAGATCAATGGTGTCAGTGGGAACTTACCTGAGAGGCAAAAAATGCTCATTGCTCAAGGAACCCCTGGCAACCTCTGGAGGAAACCTAGTGTTCCACGCAACCCTGGTTGAGAAACCCTGGGCTAGACGATGGGGTCAGAGCATCTCCAACACTGCAGCACTTGTGGGATGTTCCTGATCTGCAGTGGTCAGGACCAACCAAAAGTGGTCCAAGGAATGGAAACCTGCGACAGGGTCCTGAAGGCCGAGGCTCATTGATGCACATCAATATTCAAAGGCTGGCCTGTGTAGAAGAGCTACTGAAGCTCAAATTGCTGAAAAAGTGAATGCTGGTTCTGATAGAAAGGTGTCAGTACCCACAGAGCCGCAGACCGGTCAGGGTGCCCATGCTGACCCGTGTACACAGCCAAAAGTACCTACACTGGGCATGTGAGCATCAGAACTGGAGCAAAGAGTAATGGAAGAAGGTGGCCTGGTCTGATGAATTGAAAAATGGTTTGAAGGAACACAACAAGTTTGAGGTGTTGATTTGGCCTCCAAATTCTCCATATCTCAATCCAATTGAGCACCTGTGGGCTGTGGTGGAAAAACAAGTCCGATCCATCAGGGCCCCACCTTATATCTTACACAACTTACTAAGGGCTTGATGCCAGATACCATAGTATACCTCCAGCGGTCTAGTGGAGTCCACGCCTCGAGCGGTCATGGTGGGTTTTCATAATGCTATGGCTGATTGCTGTATAAATACCTGTATTATAAAAAGACAACACTGACCTCCAGGCAGATATAGAAGATACAAAAGAACGCAGAATATGTAAAATATTAATCCATTGTTAGTTGTATTTATTAGGCCCCTTTCACACTGGTGGACTCCGCCAGCAGAGTGCTTATGCAGAGTGGACACGGACCGCTGTCTTCTATAGGCGGTCGGATGTAAATGGACTGCCTATCCGCTAGAAGGATGGGAAATGTCCTCATCCATCTGTTTTTAACAGATCAGTTGCAGGTGGGTGTAAACGAATATCTGTCGCTCCATAGAGGGCAATGGATGGTCCTATTGGGTCCGCCTATAAAACAGACAGGTTGACCCGAATGGTTTGCCTTTGTAAAAGGGGCCTTAAAGCGAAGTTCTGCCAGAAAAAAAAAGGAAAACTCGACAAATACTGTGGCTGCTGACTTTTAATAGTAGGGCACTTACCTGTCCAGGGATCCAGCGGTGTCCTCACTCCGAGCCGATTCTTCAATCGGCTGTCGGGTGCTGGCGCCGCCATCTTGACTAAGAGAAGCGGAGTGAATAGGCTGCAGTCCTCTGGGACCTTGGAAGGTCTGCGGGGGGTGCCAAACTTCCGGCTGAGTTCGAAAAAAGGAAGTGGGAGTGGGTACCTATCAAAACCAGGTACCTGCTCCCCCCCCCCCCACCCCCAAGGGGTGTCAAACGTGGCAGTGGAGGGGTGGGGAGGCAGAAAAGTGGAGCTTCCACTTTTGGGTGGAAGTCCACTTTAAATACGAGAAATGTAAGGACTTGAATCGGACATTTCTCCTATTTAAGGCCTCTGTTTTGCTTTAACACCCCGATCCAACTTCAGTGGAAGTCACACGATTTCAAAGTCAGATGTCATTCCGACTTGCAAGACATCTACAGCTTGCAAGACGCATATGTCTATGCAAGTCGCACCTGTAGTAGCGCATGCGACTACTTTAGAAATCGGTGCGGCTCCGACCAAGTCGGAATTGCACCGATATGACCGCTTTAATTGCGGACAATCAGATTCGATTTGCATCTCGCATGGCATGGCAAATCGCATGGCAAGTCGCACCCGGTGTGACCGGGGTGTAATACTCCCCTATTCCACCGCCAGTCTCTGCTGTCGTGAAAGAAAAAAAAAAAGCTGTCTGCAAAATCATCCAAATCTCTTAATTTGTCAGATTCTTGATTACCGGCTGAACTCTATGGTTCCTCCCGGATCTCCCAAAATCCTGTGACAACTGCAAACACAGACTTCTTTGGAAAAGTCAGCAATGAGGACCGCCCCCATGGAATCCTCCCGGATCCCTCAAAATCCTGTGACACCTGCAAACACAGACTTCTTTGGAAAAGTCAGCAATGAGGACAGCCCAGATGGAATCCTCCCAGATCCCCCAAAATCCTGTGACACCTGCAAACACTGACTTTTTTCTAGAAAAGTCAGCAATGAGGACCGCCCCCATGGAATCTCACAGAGCGCCTCAAAATTATTATTACTACACAGGATTTATAAGGCACTCTGACGTGTGCATTTACGTTCCTACCTGTGTATATGTGGGGGTGGGGCCTCAAAAATATTTTTTGGGGGGGAATATGTCATGTGTTTGGGTGTACCTTTATTTTTTTTGCAATTAAAACTTTTTTTAACTTTTTTATTTTTCATCACCTAGGAGGCACAAAGTCCCCTATGTGATGATTTCCCATATTGAAGAAAAATATATTTGAAATATATTTTAAAAATATTCTTCCCAAATATATCGACAT